GGGAACTGGGTAGCCATAGGGAACTTTCTTATCTGAATTCTTAATATGCACTTAGACAAAATAGTTTCCACTAAAAAAAATACCTTCACTTCATTGTTAAAAAAATCTGTCCATTTACAGTAAAAAAAAAAAAAAAAGTGTTTCTACAAAAGAATTTTATTACAGTTATTTGAGCTTCGACTGTAGAGGAACTGGATTAGCAAAATGGCCATTAAAGAAGTCTGTAGTAAATAGATGAAAAATAAATTCCTATTAAGTAATAGCTACATTACTAGATGCAAAAAGAAACATTTTTTCTATGTTTACCGTATTCTATGCATGAAATTTACTGAAATTATTAATAATTACCACTTCATGTTTTGTAAAGTTCATTCTATTTGCATTATTATTAGCTATGGTAGGTGCTCGAGTCAGGCAACCAGATGTAAAGACACCACGAAAAATCTATATTCCCTAAAATAACACTCCACTTTTATCTAAAATATTCAGCTACTGACCTTCACAATCATATTTTCTTTACCAATTCACTGTAATAAAAATGAACATTTTGTCATCACTTTGGGAAATTGTGCCAAACACCTTAAAACACATGTCACATGCCAACTTTACTTCATTTTTCTCCTCAGGGAATAGATACATCTGGAATCATAATCACAGATAAAAACCTTGACAAAATTGCACATGAGCCAGCCCCTCTCCCCAACACCTACCTTTTCATAACATTTAATACAATATTAATACCAGTTACTAAAAAGGCTTCCAACCTTTACATTTCTGACATAACATGTTCAAACCTATATTTCACACTTCTTGTTCTGTTTTAAGTTCAGTGGATTTAACAGGACTCTGGAGAGAAGATCATGTGGTTGAAGATTTCCCTCCCTCCTTGACACCCGTAGAGGCAGTTTTGGAATTGTTTAAATAGCTGTGACTATATAATATAAACTAAAATATGTAAGATACCTTATTTCTATCTCACTTAAATACATGCTTGCATTTCTATCTGAAATCCATTGCCTGTACCAGTGACAAACAATTAGTGTACAACATCTGGGCAAAACATTCTGAGTATTTTCCTTTTAAACTTTCTTTTTGATTTTTTGTGCATATTCCTGGTTTCCCAGACAAATACAATTAGCTAATATTATAGAATAATATTATTTGGTCTTCTTTCTCAGTGAGTGACAGTTTTTCACATCAAAATAAAATTCATTCTTCGCTGATCATTTCCTTTAAAGTGTGCTATTTACACTGTCTTGAGCTTGGTTTGCTTCTGAGAAAGCTACAGATCTTGCTGGGGTAAATGGTAAAAGTATAGTTCCAATAGATTCTCTACTCTCCCCGAAATACTTGGTTTACGTAATATTTGATAGCTAATCCCCAGACTGATATTTTTACTGTATGCTTTTATAAAACATTCATTAGCTGGTATTAGAAAGAAATGGAATTTGAGAACTTTGCAAATTTTCATTTATTATTGTGTTTGTAATTAATACCGTGCTGGAAGTATCTGAGGCAGCTCACTGTATGTCTTTGTTCGTGTTAGAATGGTGATAGCAACCTCTTTTTGTTACATATTTAACAGCTTTGAAAGACATTTTTTTAAACAGCAAATGTACTAGACAGCTTTAAAGCAAAGGACATTAAATAGGTTGCCAATTATTCATTCAGCAGCTCTATGTGTGTGAAAAAAATGCAAACCACCAAATTTTCCTGAGACAAACCACTTAAATTTCCTGTGACTCATACACCATTTTTGTACTAACTGGATAAGGATGGTGATCATTTAGAAAAAGAAAGAGATATAAAATGTTTCTTACCATTGAATACTAGAAACATCTTTACAAATGCATTCATTTACAGTTTGGGGACAGCATCTGTGACCAGAATGTCCTATTTGTAAACTGTATGGTGTTTCTTAATAAGATTATTTCATTATTCTCTTTCACTTTAAAATGACCCAAAATGTCTCATTTGTTATATAAGGAGTGTAAAAAGTGATATATGAATGGAGTAATAATTTCTTTGAATCATTTCAAGTCAGTCTAAAGAGCAACTGAATCTGAAACATGCTAGTCTCTTTCCAGCAACTCAGGGAGATGAAGAGCTGAGCTCCACTTGCTGACAAGAAGCAAACTGTCTCACATTTTAGGAGAACAACATCACTGCCTATAAAAATGAAGAAGAGACAAAATAAATAAAACCAGTTAATGTTGTAGTTAACTTGCAAATCAAGTAAATCTGTTGGTACAGTATTTTAGAAATAAATGATAACAGCATCACACCAAACACACATTTCTGAACATATAAGCGTTCTGATTTTGATTTAATGGTATATCAGCGTCAACTATTGCTTCCTTTGCTGGTACACACTTCCTGATGCCTACTGTGAAGGGTGCCCATATTTACAACTGAGTAAGATGATTAATTACACCTTGTCAATCACGGTGCATGAAGACATAACACCACAGCAGACAATGAAGAAGATGCCTGAAGCTACAATTACATTTTAATTCATAGTTTATTGTATGTTCCCATATATTGCAGTCTAATAACCGTAGGGGCATCAAAAACATATGAGATATCAATCACTCTGCCCCCTGGTCTTTCATGTTTATATTATTCCACAGCCTTTAAATTACCATAAGTAGTTACTTATTTTCTAAGCTTTCTTCTCTTCTCTCTTACCTTTTGCTTCCATTTACCTTTTATTCTTAGTACCTTTATCCAACAGCTATAAAGTATTGATGGAAGTTTGTAGTTCACTTAAAATCTGTAACAGACAACCTGAAACCCAGCAATTAGCAAAGACAGCTTAGACTGGTGTTCCTTTGTTGAAGGAGGCGTTGATTCTTTTGTTCTGATTTAGTCACGGTAGCTGGGTGGAAGCTGGTACCTCATTATGTGGTTGGTCTGTTTGTCTGGTAGGTAGCAGATGGTACTGGAGATGACGTTACCAAGAGAGGCAGGGTAGAGAAACTCAAGACCTGTGATTTGTTCACCTGTCACCTATAACAAAATACAGGTTAAAAGACTTTATTATTAGCTGCACCTTTTTTTGAATGAAAAAACTCTCTTTTCAAATGAGCCATATTTGACTCTAAAAGATTATTTTGCTATTGCAATTTTGCTGTAGCTATTATTCAATGATATCCTGGATTTTATTCAGAACAATGTAAATGTCATTCATGTGTCAGTGTGTACATTAGCAGCTTTGTGTTTACATTCTGTTACTTTCCTTGTGTTTTGGTAGCAAGGGTTGGATGTCTTCTCATGTTTGTATATCCATTAAGAAGATAATCAAAGATAGCCTGTGAACTGGAGGTCATGCCATACCTTTTTATAATGCTATTGGTATAATTGGTTCTAGCCATTCAGGCAATACAGGCATATAAAATATTATATTTTAATTACATAAAATATATAAAATCTTTTTGATAACTAGCAATGTCAAATAAAGTATGTGAATCCATGACCTTTCTTAACTCTAAATATATATAGAAAATACGTAATCAGTTATGTGGTACGGAATTAAGCCGGTATTAAAATACCTAGGGATAATGGAGTGTGCAGATATAAGGATATATACAGCAAATTGTTTAAGTAAAGGCAATACAAAGGTGTCCCACAGCAAGACATGGTGTTCATGGTGTTAAAGTGAGCTCGATTCCACTTCTCTGTTATTGGAGGCATATCCCCCATCACAGATGGTGTTTGGAATGTCTTGCAATTTAAGGGAAGAAGGGATAAATTGTTTTTACCAACATAAATATTATACAGCTCTAATAATTCTGTTGCACTTTCTAATCTGAATTACAAAGTGAGTTTCCATTGTTTTCCAGCTCTGATTTTAGGACAGTCTTTCCACAGATGCCAAATTAGCTTGCATTCTGTATGGTTCTTTTGAGGCGTCCTGTGGCTATTTCATATACATTTCTACAAGAGACACTTTGTTCTCCACTGTGACATGCAAACGTGTTTAATTACTTGGAGCAATTCATACAGGTGGTAGAAAGCCACATTTATTATAAGAATGCTCACAGAACACATAAACCCAGGAAAGTTGTAATATAAAAGGACTAATTCCAGTTTTAGCAAAGAGAGCGTTCTTAACTTTACTACACCTGCAAGAGGCAGATCACTCTTTCAGGAAACAACACATAACACTAAAATAGTGAGTGATGTAATAATTTGCAGTCATGGGTATGCAGCGAGCCTTGTGATCTCAGAAGTACATTCGGGCTTACTTTCCTTTGTGCCACCTTCACCTGTATAATTAGAAGCATGGTATTTGACATCTTTAATACTAATTAGTCCTTCCATACTGCACACCTACTGAATAAATATGTAGACTTCGTGAGCCGTTTCCTATTGTTGAGCCCTTTTGTCTTTTCTGGAGCCTTCCTGATACTTCTGCTGAAGTTCGGAGGAGACCTTTTGGGCCTGGTTTTCATACAGCTTGCTAGGAAATAAGAGAAGTGAGAAGCCTCAGTTGTGGACGGCTTCATGAAAGGGAACGACACAAGTTATTATATTCTAATCATGAATATTTTTCACAAGCAGAACGAAAGCGGTGGGCTGCGCTCAGTTAATTAGGCATGTCTTAGATATCACGATCTCGGAGCGTAAACAAACTTTTGACCCCCCCCCCC